GAAGTTGGTATCGTCATCATTTTTAGAGCCATCATTTGGAATTAGTATCATAGTTTTGTTATACATTGGTACTTGGAGTTGGTATTATCATCATTTCTAGAACCATCATATCGTAGTTCATTTCGCATTGGTGCTTTGGCTTCACTTGGAGTTGGTGTTGTCGTTATTTTCAGAGCTGTCATTTGGAATTGGTATTATAGTTTCATTTCACGTTGGTGATTTGGTAAATTGTATACTATTGGCTGTTATTGATAGGGATTTATACTATTATTAAGTAAGTCAAAATTGTGAGCACTTGTCTTAGTATTAGGGGTATATGTTTTATTTGTTTTGTTTATTTTTTTTATTTATAAATACGTTATTAATACTTGTTTATTTTTTTTTTAAACTTGTCTTGAAAATCTTGGAGAGTATAACTTTGTATATACATTGTTCTTGTTTTTTCTTGCTTATAAATACATTAGGGCAGTATTATTTATCACTTGATTTTTTTTATCAGAGGCTTACCCCCCTCCCTCTCTTAATATAAAAAAAAAATCAGGTTCTTATATATAATTTTAACTTTTTTTACTCCTTCCCTCTCTAAAAAAATCACCTGATTTTTGTTATGTCCCTTACTAATATTTTTTTTGTTTCTAGATTTTTTAAAGTGTTTTTAAGCTTTCTTGAGATTGTAAAGTACATAACTTGTGAATTAGAAATATATGATTTTATTTTTTTCATTATTGCTTTTGTTTTGTGAACATATTACTAACACTTTTATTTTAGAGTAGATTGATATTGAAAACTACTTTATGTCACTATTTCTTTACCATTTTTTGAATATGCTGGGTTTGTATATTTTCTTCTTTTGATTTTGATTATTTTTTTTTGCTTTTACTAATGCTTTTTTTATTACTATTATATAATGCTCTTGTTGTTGGTATCTTCAATTTCAGAGTGATAGAAACACTTTAGTATTGGTATCGTTGCTATTAGATAGTGAATTAGTAAATTACTTTTGTAGTTAGCGCCACTATTATTGTAGTATAGAAAAAACTTGAATTTTATTATTATCATAATGATCACTATAATTGGTATTGTTATAGCTTGATAAGTCTTGGATTTATTGCTTTACTGTTAGTTGAGGTTAGGGTAATTTGAATTTCATCATGCTTATTATTAGTTAGGGTTAGGGTACTTTAGTTTTGGTTAAAGTAGATTAAATAGTTTTATTAGTAGCTGCGATCAGATAATTTATATGAAATAGTTCGTCCTGTAATATGATATAATTATTGTATTATACTTTGCATGTATAATAAATCATGTAATAATTTTATCATAAATCGTATAATAAATTTTTTATATACATATTTTATATAAATCATGTAATAGCTAATTAATCATATCAATCACATCAATCATGTGATATGGAAGATGCACCTTGGTGCAGGTATACTAAAAAATAAACTCATTTTTTTATTATTATAATTTAATATAAAATAAATATTAGTTTTAAGTATTTTACAAATACTTAAATTATTATTATTAAATAATTAATTAATTTTAATACTTATTAATTAAATAATTAATAGTAAATAAATAATTAATTTTACTATTTATTATATATTATAATTATTTAATATTAAATAATTAATTAATTTTAATATTTATTAATTACTATAATAATTTTGGTTTTTTTATTAAGTTAGTGCTTCATTTACTTAGTATTTTTAATTCTAAAATTGCTAATATCTCAAAATTTTGATTAGGTAATATCTCTCATATAATATAAGTAAAAATGTTTTTTTCGCAATTTTATATTACCCAAACTCTAATATTAACTTTAATTTTAATTTTAATTTAATCTAATATATATTACAATCTTAACTTTACTATAAAGATATTGAGTATAAGAAATTACTATTTAAATACTTCTTTATTAGAAGTACTTGTTAAATACTTATTATAAATATTTAATAAATACTTATTATAATTATATAATTACTTGCTAAATATTTAGTTTTAAGTATTCACTAGGTATAAGATGTATTAGAATTGATTTAATAAGTAATTAGAATAAGTATTTAATAAATATTTGACAAGTACTTGATTATATTGTGATATATTTGAAGTGATATCATATTCTATTTTAAACATGATTATGTTTTTGAAATTTATTCTTTAAATTGTAGACTAACACAGACAAATTTGCTTGTGTTGGTATTATAAATATACTACTGATCTATTTTTTAACAATTTAGAATATTCAAATAAAATTTGATATAATAATATTTGAAAACATATATTACTTTTTTATAGTATTTATTTTTAGGATTTTAAAATTGGTGCACCTGCACCATGGTGTATCCCTAATCACGTGATCGATTTTTGTGATGCAGATTTTTATAGTATACTGCAATAATTCATAGCGCAAATTTATAGTATGTTGTAATTTTAATGTAATAATTCATAGTGCAGATTTTTATAGATACTGTAGTAATGCGGTAATAGTTACATGATTTAAAATTTATTAATTTATACCATGAAACAATTAACTATAAAACTCTCTAACCCTAGCCTCTAACAAACAAATCTAATCCTAACCCTAAGCTATACTACTAACTAGCTATTAAACCTTAATCTCTAATAAACAAATCTAATTCTAACTCTAAGCTATACTACTAACTAACTATAAAACGAACTAAAATATAACAAAACAAGAGCGAAATCGCATTGATGATATTGAAATATCAATATCAGACAGCAACGAAAGAACTAAGACCACATTCATGATGCAATAAAAGACCAAAAATAGGATTTTATATAGCACAACGTCTATGATGTGACAAAAGACCAAAAAACAGAACTTTACATAGTACAAATGATATACTTTATCGTGCTTCTCGGGATATGACCAATAACTAGAACGAAAAGTTTACAGAATGCTTTAGATCAATGCTTGAAAGAGAAAAATGAATATTAGTTAAATGCAAAAGAACAACAAGCGAATAGAAAACAATCAACAAAAAAATTCCACTTCCCATATATTGAAAGTAACAAATCGTGGGAAAATCGCAACTGCAAAACGAAAAGTGATACCAATGTCGAAAAGAAAGCCCAAAGACACTCTTAACAGCATCTATAAACTGAAAGAAAGCATCAGTAACACATTTACAAACTAAAACCAAGTACTACCAATAAAAACAAAAATCTTACGAAAAAAGTTAGTAACGTATATTCTAGCATTCAAAAGAAAAAGGAAAACTCCAAGACGTCCTTAACAAGTCTATAAAAAAAAAAGACGCATTAATAACAGTTCACAAATCTGAAAACTGAAACAACTAATAAATACAGTAAACTATACATTCCGGTAGCTACAACAAAGGCAACACTAATTCAACAAGGCACTGGCGACAAAATGAATTAACAACACCAAATCGCAAAACGACAAAAACAAAATCTATGCAAATAACGACTCATAGCACAAAACGTAATCAGGACCTACCCACCGAAATTTACAATGCTGAAATTGACGATACCGAAATCAACGACACCGAACGCGACGATATCTGAAGCGATGATACCAAAGACAACAGCACAAAACAAACATGTTTACCAAATCTGAATAACATGTTAAAAGCTTTGAATAAAAAAAACCAATGTTAGTACAAAAAAAAAAAGCAGAAAAAAAAAAAAGCAGTACTGTACAAAAAAAAAAAAAACAGTGATTATCAATGATCACTGATTGTATATATACCCCATGATTAGGGATGCACCATGGTGCAGGGTGCACTAAAATATAATTCTCTTATTTTTAAATTATAAGAAAAAATTTTAGATTATTTATAAACCAAAAATATGCAATTTTAAAAATAATTTTTTTAAAAAAAATATTTTAGTTTA